CCACGAAGTTTTGAAGTCATGTGTTACATAACAAAGGTTAATCGACACAGACTATTTCCTGAGCTTATAAAATTTTGTCATTAAACTGTATTTTCTGCCTTTCATTGTCTTATTATTTTGTATTAATCAGATGTTGGATCTATTGACTCTATCCACTACTGCCCCTAACTTTTTAATGTTCCATTTCCTTATCTTTCTGTTTTAAGCGTTCAGAGTTAATCTTCAATTTATTTATTTATTTTTTATTTACTGAGACAGAGTCTTGCTCTGTGGCCCAGGCTGGAGGACAGTGGCACGATCTCGGCTTATTGCAGACTCCATCTCCAGGTTCAAGTGATTCTCCTGCCTCAGCCTCCCAAGTAGCTGGAACTGCAGGCATGTGCCACCATGCCTCGCTAATTGTATTTTTTAGTAGAGACAGGCTTTCCCATGTTGGCCAGGCTTGTCTTGAACTCGTGACCTCAGGTGATTCACTCGCCTGAGCCTCCCAAAGCGCTGGGATTACAGGCTTGAGCCACCGTACCCTGCCTAATCTTCAATTTAATTTGAAGATAAAAACACGCTTGGGCATCAACAGTGCCTTATTATTTGGTTTAATACATTTTTACTTTGATAATCATAATTTTAATTTCCTGGAAATTTCTTGTTTTGATTGTTCCTTTTTCATAATAGTCTTTACAGCTATTATCTCCTTTCAAATTCCTTTTTTTTTTTTTTTTTTAGTAACAGAGTCTCCCTCTATTCCCCAGGCTGGAGCACACTAGCACGATCTCGGCTCACTGCAACCTCCACCTCCCAGGTTCAAGTGATTCTCCTGTCTCAGCCTCCCAAGTAGCTGGGACTACAGGCATCTGCCACCATGCCAGGCAAATTTTTGCATTTTTAGTAGAGACGGGGTTTTTGCAATGTTGGCCAGGCTGGTCTCCAACTCCTGGCCTCAGGTGATCTGCCCACCTCGGCCTCCCAAAGTGCTAGGATTATAGGAGTGTGCCACCGTGCCTGGTCTTCCTCTCAAATTCTGCTGAGGGTATTAATTAGACACCTTTTAAAAAGTTTCTGGTATTCCCTGAATTGTACTTGAATCTTCCAGTATTGGTTGCCCTTTTCATTTATCTAAATACAATCTTCCCCTAAATATCTGATTGATGATTTTTGGATCTGATAATCCAAATTACTTTTCTAAGTGAAAAATGACACTGATTTGTATTGGTAATTTATATTGTTTCATCTGCACTGTGAAATACATGATCCCAAAAGGTTTCTTCCTGGAATGAAAGACATGTCAACACTCAGAACATTCTGAGGGTTTCATGAGCAGAAAAGCAGGCAGGCAGGCTGGTGACACCCACGACTGCCAAATAAGACAGGTTTTATTTTACATGTGAAATGCTTTATGAACCTCACTTCTGAACACCTTTTCCACCTTTCCCCAATGTTCAATGTAGGATTTCACTTCAGGGAAAACAAAACAAAACAAAAAACAAAAACAAACAAACAAACAAAAAACCTTTTCCATTTTGTAATGCTACCGTATGAGAAAAGAGAATTAGGCTAGTGTGTTTAACCTACTGACTTAAACTGGAAACCCAGTAATTAGGCTTCAGCCTTGACCTCTTTTTTTGGATCTTGTTTGTTAACTTCTTCAGGTCATAAATGCCTCATGCTGATAACAGAATTCACTCGGTTTTATTTTTGAGAGAATACATCTTAAGAATGATTCGTGTAGGGAATAATTTATTTGTGAAAAATAAAGTTTCCAATATAGAGATCTTATTTTAAAAATTGGCTTTTTTTTCTTAACTTCAAGAGAATTGATGATACTTTTTAAAGGATTTCTGTGATCACTTAGATGAATGTTGCTATTATCTGCACACATTGCTACATTAAACCCTCCAGAATTTAAAGTTCATTTAAGCTTTCTCACACTAAATAATAGTTCTTGGTTATATTTCCAAACTTATGAAAGCAACATAGGCCCAAAAGGACAGCAGTATATCAAAATAAAATAAGATTATTTTCCAATGAGAATAGAGATAAATCATTTTCCCAAGGAGAGTTCAGCAAGGTTAGAGACTGGCCGAAGAAAAGTAGCCCTCAGCTTTAGAGCTCAAGCTAATTTTAAAACACACCCTATCTCCTGCTTAGCTTCGATATATTAACACGTTCATTTGTCTTAAATCTTAAGGCTGTTGTCCACCAGGTCATGGTAGTCAGAAGAACTGTCATATAAAATGTACATCTAGTAAGGCCCTATTTTTACTTTAAAACAGTGATCTTAAAATTTTTGGTAGAATAACCTAATTAGCAAATAAAAGCTTATAGAAACCCACATGCCTATACATATATTAAAAACACTGAAGTGGAGTGGTTTTGCTTAAGAAGGCTGAAGGTGTGGGCAGAAAAACTTCACAGCCTAGCTTCATTCATGGTCCTGAGACACCATAAAGGCACCGTTTTCTCAAACAAAACTGAAATATACTCTTCTGTTACGTAAAGGAGAACAATCTGTGTCTCATATTTAAAATTTGCAAGTATAGATACAGTTTTCATGAATATTATTAAAAACAATGAAATAAAAATTATTCCATTAACTCATTTGTTGAACATTTCCATGTAACTACAACAGTGCAAAGCACTTTGAGAGCTGCATGGGAGGTCTCAGACATGGTTTCTAATATCAGAGTTCAAATAGAAATCACATCGGAAGCTGAAGCCACAGTATGTGGTGCTCACTTCCACAGCAGACTAGTACAGCCTGAAGTATTTAAGCACATTAACTGTAAAGGAAAAGGAAAAGTGTTACTTAGCTGCATCTTAAAAGACTCTTGGGATTCAAACAATCTATAGGAGGAAGGCAGCCAACACACCAGCGGTGGAGAAAATACAAACATTTTTGTTCATTTTTTGTAGAGACGGGTCTCCTCTCGAACTCCTGGCCTCAAGGGCTCCTCCTGCCTTAGCCTCCCAAAGTGCTGGGATTACAGGTGTGAGACACCATGCCCAGCAAGGACAGATTTTCAAGAATAGAACACAGCAGAGGTGTGGTAACAAGAGGACATCTGTGTAACTGAAGTGGAAAATAACATATATTGGAGTCTGAAGGGAAATAAAATTAAATACCTAAGCGAGGGAAATATAATTAGTGTTTCAACCATCTGCCGCCACTTCCTTCTGGGAGGGCTCTATTTCCCTTCTTCACGCAGGTAACGCTCTTGCACAAGGGGCTTGCTTTGGCCAATGAAATGGAGTTAGATAAAATCACTGTGATGTCTCTTCTCTCTGTCATCAGGCTGAACGTGCTCCAGACAGAACCAGCTCCATCAGCTTCTGTCCTGGAGTGACGGCAACTTCAGCGGTGCCACTGCGAACTCATGATGAGCACGTAACTGCGCGAGGAATAAATCAATGTTGTTGAAGCCCCTGGTTCCATTATCACTGTAGCTCAGACAATCCTCACTGATACAATGCTTAGTACCAGATGAAGGGTGACGTTAAAGTGAAGATGGATGTCAGGGAGAATACATACCTAGTGTAGGTTTATAAACAGTTTTCACTTCCAAACATGCCTTTTCACTCAGTGACTTTAACATGGGGATGGGTGACGCTGAACTTGGTTTTGTCTAGTCTTAATTTACATGATGGCATGGCAGCCAGTGCTCATATTTAGAAATCTAAGATGAGAAGGAAAGTATCTTCAGGGTTTACTCAATGTCACTTTCTCATTAAGACTTAACCATCCATTTCAAATTGTAAATGAGCCCCTTCCTCTTTTTTCTACTCTGTATCTCCCTCCCTTATTGTCTTTTTCTCCATACTACTTCACCACCATTTGCATATGTGTGTGTGTATATGTATTTATGTATGTGTGGGTGGCATGTATATATTTGCAAAAACATATATAAAACATATATAAAACTTATCTAGTTGCAAAAACCTGAAAATTAATATACATCTCATAGTTCCTTTCTGAAAAATTATGATGTCTACATCCCCATGTAGAAAGTAAGACAAATAAAGCACTAGGAAAGTTACTCCAGTTACTTCATTAGCATGAATTTGCAAGAAAGACTTCAGCCTGTTTGCTTTAACAGATAAAATATATCGTAGTTCAGGCAGACCTTGACTTACACTGACTTGACGTATCTTGATGAATGAATGACTTATTTACAACTGGGTAGAGACTAGGAACATCCCCACATACGCTGCCAAAGGCAATAGGTATCACTGGCCACTAAATCAGAACCATTCCCCTGCCTCACAAAAATGATACTTAGGTTCAGTGCAATCATTGATTAGCACAATAGTTCTGGTAGATTATGGGTTAACCTGGTTTTTGCATGCTGGATGGGGAATTTACTATTGTCATGTTTTTTCATGACAAAACAAATGTGATGTTTTAAACAAAAACATTTTCTAATGCACTTGTGTAATGTTTCCATTTGAAAGGTAAAGAGACTGACTATGCTGTATTTGCAAAACACAAGACCTCTCAGGGAGAGCGTAATACTTGCACTTCCAAAAAGCTTCTCCCCTCAAAGGAAGACACTGTGCCCTTGAGAATGACTCTGGAACTAATCATAGAGGAAGAACCTTCGTTTATAAATTACTACTCTTATATTTCACAGATGAAAGAAACAGAATACTTTATAGACGTTTAAAAAATTGGCTGGGTGTGGTGGCTCAGGCCTGTATTCCTAGCACTTTGGAAGGCCAAGGAGGGTGGATCACTTAAGGTCAGGAGTTCAAAACCAGCACCTGGCTAACAGGTGAAGGTGAAGATGTCTCTACTAAAAATACAAAAAAAAAAAATAGCTGGGCATGGTGGTGGGCGCCTGTAATCCCAGCTACTTTGGAGACTGAGGCAGGAGAATTGCTTGAACCTGGGAGGTGGAGGTTGCAGTGAGCCAAGATCATGCCACTGCACTCCAGCCTGGGCAACACAGTGAGACTCTGTCTCAAAAAAAAAAAAAAAAAAAAAAAAAAAAAGATTTAACTGAGCATAAGATGATTAAAATATAGTCCCGTCACATGTCTTTAACTGCATTATATTCTATAAAATATTCATTTGAAAATGAAAACTTGAAAGTAACTGACCATTCAAATTTTGAACAAGCTAAAGAAGCTTCAAATAGCAGATAATTACCAATGTTTTAAATGTAGTATGTCCTGGAGGGAATCCAACATTAGGATAAACAAGACAAAGTCTCTGTTCTACAGAATCCAATGCAGTGCTGGAGACTGAGATGCAACCACATAATCCTATCATCTCAAACTGAACTTCAAGGAGGGAGTAACTAACTATACCCTGAAAATGATGGACACTTTCTAGGAGGACTTGATACTTGGGCTCTGTCTTGAAGGATGCAAGGTCCTTCCTTATGAAGAATCTACCACACACAATGGTGCAGAGGTGAAAAGAAAGCACATTCAGGAAACAGTCTGTGATGGCTTCACCCAGAATAGAGAGCACTCAATGACCTGGAAGATGTTTTAAGAAGTTATTCAAAAATATTTACTATCAACTCAAGGTTTGTCATAGGAAATGATTTGTAAAGAAATTATTTCCCCAGATTGTGAAGAGCTTTATACTGCCTACTTTGGAGTTTATTTTATAGGTAATGAGAAGTTATCAGTGGCTCGTAAACAGGGGGAGTGTTAGGATCAATTTCTTTTTCTTTATTTAAGGAAGGTAACTGGAGTTGGAGGCGAGGGAGACTGGTGACCAAGAGATTAGTTAATAAGCAACTATAATGACTGAGGTGAGAGATGATGAAGGGTAAAACGGGGCAGTTAGGCAGAGTGAACTCAAGTGAAGAAATTATTACTAGACACAATGGTGTGGCAAAACAAATAGGCGGAGAGACACAAAAATCTGCAGTAACTTTTAAGAATTTATAACTTATGGAACTGTTTGGGCATATTAACCAATAACACAGGAGCAACTAGAGATGATGAGTGGGCAGTTTTGAATACTAGGAAAGATCTCAGAGTCATCACAGGACAGGTTGTAGTTGAGGCCAGGTCAAGAGTCTAAGATGCCACTGTATGGGATATAGCAGTAAAAGAACGAACAGGAAAACAAGAGACCTGAGCAGACGGAAAGGGAGACATCAAACTACTCGGTATCACTCGAGTGACTCTAAGAGCCCATGAACATGGGCTACAGGGAGTAGGACACAATGTCATCAGGTCAACAGAAGAAAATATATAAGGACTATAAAAGTCTTTAGATGTAGCAATAAGGAAGTCACTGGAGGAAAATTTGAGAGTTGGTGGGGTTAGAAGCCAGACTGTCATGAAATCAGGAATGGGAAATAAGGCAGAGAACAAAGGTCCTTCTTTCTGAAACTTTCGATGAAGACACAGAGGAAGTAAGGACAACTGGTTGAGGGTAAGGTAGAGTTGAAAATTAAGGTAAAGGGAACTGAAACATAACTGTATGACCTGAAGATGGATACAGTTAAGACATCAATGAGACAAGCTATAATTGTGAGGCAAAGTAAGACAGAAATAACCTTGGAGATGAAGAAAGGAGACCACCCTTTTTTGAGCATTCAATGTGTACCAGATGTTTTGCTGTACACTCTCAGATGCATTTCCTAAATTAGCTAAATATTACTAATAGGTGGGTATCAATATCCCTAATCCGCAGTCAGGAAATGATGGAGTAGAAAGGTTTATTAAAATTGGAATATCTGAGAAGTGAAGATGTCTATGTGAAATACAAGGCAAATCATATGTTCCAACAGCATTAGGAATCAAGTGGTGAAAATGGCAGAGCTCTCGTATTGAATGAGAAAGTGATTCCTGGCAGATAAGACAAGAAAAAAAATATTAAGAGTGCATGGTATTATTATTGTATAATAACAAAAAGTTAACCTGGAATGATTGCATTATTTTCAAGCAATAGCTCAACCATAAGTGTATTCTTATATATAAGGTCTAATGAATGTTTTAATGAACAACAGCTTTCCATTTTGCAAAAGATACACGAATATGGTTCAAAGTAATGTTACCTACATTAATCCTCACTAGAGTTTAATCTTAACCCAATGAAGGCATTTCTATAAGGCAACTATACTAAAATAATGTCTCATACTATTTTACAACTATTTTATTATGTGAAAACTCCATGCTGGGAATCACTACCAATGACTAATTTAAAACTAATTATTTCAGCATTAATCTGGATAATGATCCATAATGAATGGAAAATGAATAATCTGACATTTCAGGGGTTCCGTACTGCCCCAATTCATATACAAGAAAATGCTTTTGCTATGTCTTTCATACACAGATTAAACCACAATCTAAAATATCCCCAAAGTGTTGAGATACTTACAAATTATATTTTAGCTATTTATAGAATACAATGCATAAATCTAAGTTTCAGTGCTGAGTTAATTAAGGAAAGTCCAATTTTATAACATTATTTTTGCATGTGGAAAAATAACTAATACATAATGCTTGACCATATGGTCTGTTAGTCCTTTCGCTAATTACCTACAAATCACTACACAGGTTTTACAGCTGCTACATATTATTAACTGTAGCATGTTTTCCCCAAAGATTTTATTACTCTCTTCATACATTTTTGTTTTAACCACGGACAAAAAAAAAGTTGGTGTTTTTAATAGAGTCGATTGCAGAAGACTGAATACACAACAGATATATATTTAAAGGAATGATGCTTTACATGTAAATTAATGTTAATTACTTGATAAAACTTTCAGCAGACCAAAATATTGAATAGTTTTCTTTTAGTCAACATTTTAAAATTCTTCATTAAAGTCTGGTAGTCTAAGGCACGCAATGCTTCAGTCAGGCATGAAAATGTTGTAATAACAGTTTCTGATATAGAAAGCAATTAGCTGTTTTTAAAAAATGATGTATTTCATATAAGCCATATCTAATTTGGGACATGTGCTTTAAACAATGTTAGAATTAAATGTGAATTTTGTCACAGAATCTAGAATAATTATTATGTTTTAAAAGTATAATGACTGAATAGCATGTCAGAGAAAATGGCAGAAAATTAAAATTGAAATTGAAGTATAAAATGCTTGCTTCTATCCTCCCCAGAATACTTTCATTACATTCTACTCTTTATCCAATTGGAGAAACTACCTAGCTCCAGTGTAAAATCCTACTGGGCCAGGATTATGACTGATTCATCACATGCATCAACTGTGCACGACGGTCTGCAGAAGCAGGTGCTAAAGGTATTTGCTGAAATAAAAGATCCATACATTTCGAATCAAACAAGTTCTTATTCTTATGGTACACACATTGATTTACCATCTTAGTCATATAGTAATAGTGTATAAAAGCCAAAAAGATTACTGAGTATATAAAATAATTGGTATCTGAAAGGCCCTTTTAACTACCAACTATAAATTCTTCCCTAAGCTTTAGACTGTCCTGCCAAGCTAACAGGTTTTCTTCGTACTAATGCTGCACAGATCTTCAGAAAAACTGCTATCAATTACTTTGATTTCCCAGGCTGCCCAAACTGCTAATGGAACTTAGTAATTAAAGTTCTTTTGAAATAATCCCAAATCTGAGCATTCTGCTTGATTACAAGCAGCCATCAACATTAACATCAATCGTTGACAATGTAATATACATCGGATGTGCCAGAGGTAATCGTTATCTAAAATCCTGTTTCTAGAACATGACTTCTGTCTAGCGCAGAACATGTAATGGGGATCTGAGATATTTCTACCTCCAGTGACAGATTCTATCATGAATCTTGCATACAGCGTTCACAATCAGAAGCAAAGATCTCTTTATTTGTAATATTCCCAGTTGATCTCATAGAAAAGAGCCTTGAATTCTGTCACCATTTTAAGTGGCCACTTTGTCCATATCTTCCCTTTCACCAAAAATGTAATCAGATATCAATACATTGTACCCACGATACTGTCTTACACTTGCATTTGGAAGCAGGTTCCCAGATTGATGATCAGCATTCAGAATAATACACTTTGCAACCAGAATTGCTAACTTGTAAAGGCAAAAATCAACAGGAAGCAAAATGAGTCTGAAAAACAGAAAAAGTAAGCAATTTTATAGAACCATTTGCCCACAGATCAAAAGGAATTTTGATCAAATTGACTAGTATAACTCAGGAAATTACAGTTATTAGTCATTAAGCATTTCAGGTAGAATTCTCATCTTTTCCAAAGTTTCACTCAAATACAACAGGTCATAAGACCTCACAATCTTCTAGCAACAGTAATGGAGCTGTTACAGTATTTGAAGGACATGGTCATCTACTATGTACAATGTTTCTGGAGGAAAAAAAAACTTTTAGAGCAGAGTCACCTGTATTACACATCAATGAGATGTCAGGCCACTTCAGGAATGACTGTTCCACGACAGTCCATGTGCACTCAAATATATTAAGTAGTCTATAAATTCAATGTCAAAATTAAATTGCAACTGTCAACAAACACAAATAGAGGACTTATTTATTACTTTCGTTATATTAACCAGCTTTTCCAACTGAAAACTGCAATACTAACTCTGCTTTCTGCCTGGAATTCCTTATAAGAAGGGTGCTTTAGGAATTGATTTTTAGTGATGCTGAGCTTTTTTTATAGGTTTGTTGGTAGCTTGCATGTCTTCTTTTGTGAAGTGCCTATTCATGTCCTTTGCCCATTTTTAAATGTTTTTTGCTTCTTGTGAGGTTCCTTATAAATTCCGGATATTAGGCCTTTGTCAAATGCATAGTTTGTAAATATCTCCTGCCATTCTGCAGGTTGTCTCTTTAGTCTGTTGATAGTTTCTTTGGCTGTACAAGCTCATTAGTTTAATTCAGTCCCACTTGTTTATTTTTGGTTTTGTTGCAATTGCTTTTGGGGACTTAGCCAAAAAATTTTTGCCAGAGCCAATGCTGAGAAGAGTATTTCCTAGGTTGTCTTTCAGAATTATTACAGTTTGAGGTTTTACATTTGAATCTTTGGTCCATTTTGAGTTATTTTTTATATAGGGTGAAAGGCATCCAGGTTCAATTTTCTGCATATGACTAGCCAGTTAATCAACAGAAATGCAAATCAAAACCACAACGAGATACCATCTTATACCAGTCAGAATGGCTATTATTAAAAAGTCAAAAAAAAAAAAAAAAAAAAACAGATGTGGCAAAGCTGCAGAGAAAAGGAAACACTTATATACTTACACACTGTTGGTAGAAATGTAAATTAGTCCAGCCACTGTGGAAAGCAGTCTGGAGATTTCTCAACTTAAAACAGAGCTATCATTTGACCCAACAATACCATTACTGGTTATATACCCAAAGGAAAACAAATCATTCTACGAAAAAGACACATGCACTCATCTGTTCATCGCTACACTATTCACAATAGCAAAGACATGGAATAAACCCAGGTGTCCATCAACAGTAGACTGGATAAAGAAAATGTGGTACATATACACTATGGAATACTACATAGCCATAAGAAAGAATGAAATCATGTCCTTTGCAGCAACATGGATGAAGCTAGAGTCCATAATCCTAAATGAATTAACACAGGAACAATATAAAAACAAATACTGCATGTTTCACTTATAAGTGAGAACTAAACACTGAGCACACCTGGACATAACAATGTACACTGTGGACTATGAGAAGGAGGAGGGAGGAAAAACTACATATTGGTTACTATGCTCACTACCTGGGTGATAGGATTCATACCCTGAACTTCAGCATAACCAATATTCCCATGTAACAAACCTGCACATGTACTCCTGTATCTAACATAAAACCTAAAATTAAAAATATAAATTAAAAAAATAAAAAGAACTCACTTTTGTGTAACTGCAATAAGAAATGGAAGTAGGTAGAAAAGACAAAAATAAAACTTGAAATTTTACAGAAAAATTTGCCCAAGACAAAAATCCAGTTTGTCATAATAATATAGCAAATGTACTTAGATACAAATATAATTGGTAATTCTAATATAATACAAAATAATCAGGCTAACTTCTCCATTACAAGTATATTTTATAATCATTTTCCTGTTGGCAAACATAAGCAAAGCTGAAATTCAAAGGATTTGTTCAGTACAATCCCTTGTGAAAATAATTTTTCATTTAAAATATTAAATAGTGTTAACTTTCAATACTTGTCATATTTAATTTATACTTTATGTGTGTATTAATTTTGAATGTATTTTTAGTATATGTTTTTTAGGATTCATTGCTATTCCTTACAACCTAATGAGCTATAAAATCACCAGGCTAAACTTTCAAAAAAAAAAAAAAATGTAGGCCAGGTGCGGTGGCTCACGCCTTAATCCCAGCACTTTGGGAGGCCAAGGTGGGCGGATCACTTGAGGTCAGGAGTTCAAGACCAGCCTGGCCCATCTCTACTAAAAATACAAAAAATTAGCTGGGCATGGTGGTGCGTGCCTGTAAACCCAGCTACTCAGGAGGCTGAGGCACGAGAATTGCTTGAATCCGCAGGCGGAGGTTGCAGTGAGCTGAGATCACACCACTGTACTCCAGCCTAGGTGACAGGGCAAGACTGTGTCTCAAAAAAGAAAAACAAAAAAAGTATCCATTTAGTCACTGGGAAGGGAGGACTTACAACTCCTAAAATTCCAGTTTCTAGAGAAATTCAATTATGTATAAAAGCAGATTTCCAGAACTTCACACATTTGGCTGATTTTCTAGTGAATTCACACAGACCTGGAGGTTGCTAATTGCCTGGGCTTTGTCCCACTCGCTGAATGTAGAGGCCCAGTGCACCCCATGACTGGTGTCCCCAGCCCAGTCTCCTTCCATGGGACCCTGACTGTGCCTGGGATGGCAGAGTAACATGAGGAGGGGGAGGAAGGGAGGAGAGCTTGAGATGGGAGGGATGGCAGGATGAAGCGAGGCAGGGAGGAAGGTGTGTGCCCAGATGAGCTAAACAAGAGACTAATGACTGGAAAACTGTTTTTCAACATTGCCCTAGATGTTCTAGGTGTGAGGGCATTTAAACAATGTTTAATCATTAATAACTTCTAAATAATTATAAGTGTAAAACAGTAATGGAGAAATAAGACAGCTACAGAGAATGCTAAGTGCATGAAAAATATACTACATGGTCTTGTGTCCACAAAACTAACCAGCATTTACAAAAGGGCTCCAGTGGGGATGGCATTTCTTTAAAATAGTAACTCCCCTGAACCAAAGAAGCCAAAGTTCCCAGAATAGTCTGTGCATTCACCTCTCCATACCTGGGCTTTGGCTGTTCTCCAGGGTTGGAATGCATCTGCAGGTGTGGACATCTACATTTACAGGCCTCCCTGTCTAACCCAGGGGCCAGCAAACATTGTCTGCAAAGGGCCAGACGGTAAATGATTTTGGCTTTGTAGCCTCTTGATGCTGCTGGTTTCTCCCTCCTCGTCCTCTTCCTTCCCCACCCTTAGAAAATGGAAAACCCAGGCCAGGCATGGTAGCTCACACCTGTAATCCCAGTGCTTTCTCTTCTCCAAGGCACACCCTAAGGACTCAAACCACAGCCTCTATGAAGCTTCCCGTTCTGCTGTTTCTACCACAGCTGTGATCACTTCCCATGGTAAGGACACAGTCCCATACACTCTCGTGCCTCTCTCCTCCAGCATGAATCACACTTCTTCAGGCAGAGCTTTGGTGTCTTATTTCGATTGTATCACCTAGTCACTAGTGCAATGGCTGACACCAGAAGAGTGATATACTTTTTCTTTGAGACGGAGTCTCTCTCTGTCACCCAGGCTGGAGTGCAGTGGCTCACTCGGCTCACTGCAGTCTCCGCCTCTGAGGTTCAAGCAATTCTCCTGCCTCAGCCTCCCGATAGCTGGGACTACAGGTGCCCACCACCATGCCCAGCTAATTTTTCTATTTTTAGTAGAGACAGGTTTCACCATGTTGGCCAGGATGGCCTCAATCTCTTGACCTTGTTATCCGCCCGCCTCGGCCTCCCAAAGTGTTGGGAGACATATCTTTATTTAATTAAACATTCCTAGACTCCAGTTTTCTCACCTGTAATATTGAATATTTATGTTTCTTTTAATCTCTAAAATTCCATAATTTCACTTTTGAGAAGTTCAAATACTGTATCTTACCTCAACTATTTAAATAATGAGTTTAATTCTTCATTCTGCCTATACCAAAGAACAAAGCATCTTTTTACTTAACTTGATTTCTTCCCTTCATGCAGGACAGTCCTGGGTGCTCACAGGAGACAAGTTTCACACACACAGTTCATGGGGTAACAGCCTTTTATATATTTTTCACACGTGGAAAATGAACATAGACATGGGTCTTGAGAAGGGTAGTCAGCTGCATTCTGAGCCAGGCATTCAATTTCCAAAATAACAAATTTCCTCTATGTTCAGTCTCTGTTCCCTCCCCCTCTTTCTCCTTCTGGGTATTTTACCAGAAAATTAGAAGTCTTTAAAACCAAATCAGTGCAATAAAATGTTTGGCTTTTAGGGTGAAGTCATCAGTGTGATGACATGGCAAGATCCTACATATTCAAAAGCGTCAAATTTGACTTTGCTTGATTTTATATGAGACTGTTAGTATTTTTGATGCCATTTGTAGCCTGCAATTCAAATATTCTCCAAGAGTAGACCTTACGTCATGGCTTTGTTAACATCATTTCATCTCATTATTAAGTTTTCTTATTTTATTATAATAGCATTAATTTTCATTACTCTAAGAAATTATTTCTTAATTTGGTTGACATTTAGATCTTTCAACTGTCATTATGATTTAGGAGTTTGTTGATTCTTAGTGGTAATCATAGAAAAAACTGTTTCAAGGAAAACAATTTCGTGATGATGAAGAGCCGCTGATGATTCCACTAATAATTTTACACAGGCAGATCTGTGACTTCACACAAGTGAATGCCTCAGCCACATGACTAGCCTCCGGGTTTGGGGGCTTGCTAGCCTGGTCGATTTTGTGTGCACTGCTCTCAACCACAATGGCATGAGGCACGTTCGGAGAAAAAGCTGGCTCCCAAAAGAAAATAACCACTTACGAAGCATCCTTGAGTGAAGGAATTCTGTAAAAATTGAAACGGTTCTGTCCTCCTGCGTGCTGTGACTGAAAAGTAGTGGAAATTACAAAAATTAAATATTCTGAAGGCACTTGCCAAATATCAGCAACAGATATATATTACTTAAATAGTAATATCATTTGCCCACACAAAAAAGTTGATGTTAAATTGCTCTCATTTTCATATACTCTTAATCTTATGATTGGACAACACATTTGTTTTTTCTGTTGTAACAAGTCAGTAGGGAAAAAAAAATATCTCAGTGACATAAATTTTTGCTATAAGCCCAACATGAAATGAATGGCACCAAATGTTTGGCTAAAAATAGCTTTGAAATTTTTGAGCCCTCTCCACCTCCTGTGGAGCAATGTGGGGGGAAAAAACAACCACCAATAAATAAGTTCGAGTTCTGTTTCTAACCTTTCCATTTTACAAATGAAGACACTTGGCACAAACAGGTTAAAGAGACTACTGAAGGTAACATGCCTTGTTAGGGGCATCTTAATGGAATATATTAGATGAACCCAGGTAAATGCATGTTCCTGCTCAAGATCGCTAGAGAAATGTTTTTTCTGTCCTCTGGGTTTTCACATTAACAACCAAGAGACAGTGACTTGTGTAAACAGTGGCGCAAAATGCAGACATTTTGGGAATGAAACAGAAATGAAATAAACACCCATGAAGAAGCAAAACAAATGGGCATGGTGGCTCACAGCTGTAATCCCAGAACTTTGGGAGGCAGAGGCAGAAGGATCCTTTGAGCCCAGGAGTTCAAGACCAGCTTGGGCAACATACAGAGACTCAGTCTCACCTGGGAATGGTGGCATGCACCTGTAGTAAATCAGGAGGCCGAAATTCGAGGGTTGCTTGAGCCCAGGAGCTCAAGGCTGCAGTGAGCCATGATAATGCCACTGCATTTCAGCCTGGCAATAGAGTGAGAGTCTGTCTCAAAAAAAAAAAGATGTGGCCAGGCACAGTGGCTCATGCCTGTAATCCCAGCACTTTGGGAGGCTGAGGCGAGTGGATCATGAGGTCAGGAGTTCAAGACCAGCCTGGACAACATAGTGAAACCCCGTCTCTACTAAAAATACAAAAAAATTAGCCGGGCGTGGTGGCAGGCACCTGTAGTCCCAGCTACTCGGGAGGCTGAGGCAGGAGAATGGCATGAACCCGGGAGGCAGAGCTTGCAGTAAGCCAAGATCATGCCACACGGCACTCCAGCCCCGGTGACGGTGCAAGACTCCATTACCGCCCCCCCACCCTAAGGAAAGGAAAAAGCAGCAGCAAAATAAAGTTAGACACATCCATCATCAGATTGAGATTCCAGGAGGTCAAACTTGCAAATACACACACTGGTGCATCTACACACTCCAAATGATAAGGAGCACAACCAAATATTGTCTATCATTCTACAGTTCTAAACAGTAGGGAGAGATCAAAGTCTTACGTGAGAAACCCCTGAGCACAGCTGACAGGAGCGAGAGCTGCACATACAGGTCTTCAGCCAGTACGGAAGCAGGGCTCAACTTTGACCTTCACTTTGAGTCCCAAGGACATTCCTTCTATCCATTCAGAATTTCTAGCTTGAAATCAGGAAGAAGTAAAAACCTTGACCTCATATTTGACTTCTGTATTCTATTTTCCCTATTAATGCTGCCTATCATAAAATACAATTAAATTAAAATTGTATATGAATTAAAACAATACTTTTACCAAATCCTTGTAAACTTGGGTCATTAGATGAATGAGAAATTTGCTTTTTACCATTTAGTTTCAGAACTTCTTTAAAAGTCACTAGTTCAAATCACTTATTCGTAAAATTACTTTGTCAATACTGATTTTCATGCATTCATTTCTAATTATGGTTGAATAACAGGAAATACAAAAATTGTTCTACATAAAACTATGGCCCTAAAGCATTGAACGCCAATGAATGACTGAAGCTGATTGAAGAAAGCATCTCTAAAAGCCCTCAACTGTCAATCCTACAATATAACGAAGGCAGATGATATTCTCAGAGACTCCTTTATATAGTTTCTCTCATAGTTTCATTTTTTAAAAAAATAAAAGAAATGCTGAAATGTGAAGTTCCTTTTCAGTATTGCAGTTTGTTCTAATGATATTGTAATTCCCCTCTGTAAGGAGTTCCATATTATTTCTTTTTCTCCATGCTGAACTGTAAGACAATAATATTATCCCTATGCTTATTACTACCCCCTCAACTTTATGAAGCACAAAATGCCTCCTTTCTGTTTTCTTGACGTACAGAATTTTGCTTCGGTAAGCCGAAGAGTTTTTTCCTAGCCTGTATGTGCTTGTTCTGTGTCAAGTCATTGTAAAGGAGCCGGTTTGAAAGCTTATCACCATTCATTCTGTGCCTTTCCAACTCTGTCTCCCTGGTAACAGAAGCCTACAATTATGAGACAAGAACACAAAGGATTTGCCAAATTATCTAAATTCTAATACTCTAACATTTTATACCCTTCCACCTCCCATCCATGCATCTATTACTTTTTTCCCAAGTCTAAAGCGATGGTCTTCATCTTAGCTTCTCTATCTTCAGTTTCCCACTGGCCCAGTCATCTAAAATACGCATTCCAGTTGAACCTTTTGGAAACTTTAGGCCTGTCATTCTTCCATAAAAAACTTTCACTGTGCCCCAAAACTCTCAGAACAAAGTACAAGTACTTCTGTTTGGTACTGTAGGATCTCTATGACTGCTATCTGTCCCCTTTATTTTTTTTTTTCTTCTCTTTTCTTTTTTTGAGGCAGAGTTTCACTCTTGTTGCCTAGGCTGGAGTGCAGTGGTGTGATCTCGGCTCACTGCAACCTCTGCCTCCCGGGCTCAAGCGATTCTCCTGCCTCAGCCTTCCAAGTAGCTGGGATTACAGGCACCCGCCACCACACCCAGCTAATTTTTTTGTAGTTTTAGTAGAGACAGGGTTTCACTATGTTGGCCAGGCTGGTCTCAAACTCCTGACCTCAGGCAAAACACCGGCCTACCTTTCATACATATTTCTATGCTCCTGTGACTCTGGACACTATACAAGCTAGGTCAAGTTTGCCAGTCTTCCTATGTCCTGCTATTTCACACCACTATAAACATTCTTAAATAAACAAAGCTCTGTTTTGAATTAAACATTTCCAAAGCAAAGTATTTCACTAGCTTCCTTCACCGCATGCTTGTTCCTAACAAGTATGCTTATTCCTTAGGATTCTCCACAGTTAATGGTGCCATTTCCCCAGTTGCTCAGGCCTGTTAAAGTACGACTTTCAACAAAGCAAAATCATGACTCTTATGTAATAAAAATCATGACTCTTATATAAATAAAAAATGAATGTGTGTCAAAGATCTTATTACTTAGTAATTAATGAGGAAACCAGTAAGATGTTAAAACCAGTTGAAATTAAAATTTGAAAAGCTAGGTGTTTAAAGGCAATTTTACAAAGTAATTTTATGATAAGACCGCCTGGTTAGATATATTAATAAAATGGGTTAATGTACAACAGGGCAACAAACTGTAATTTTTAAATCACCTTTTCCACCAGGTAAACATTATCTGTATCTCTACTAGACAAAAATCTGTACATTCACCCCTTCTCCTACAAGGTTTTACAACACCCAAGGAAACAGAAAATCAAAGGCAAAAGCCTACACTGAACGGAAAAGCACTCAGTAGTTGCTGTCATTTTTGTTTCAGAAAGTTTTTCTGATATTCTACCCCTTATGGTTATAAATAATCCTCAAAGATTATTCTTTAAAGAAAAAGTCTAGCCTCATCAGGTTTGGTCTAATTATTCACACGGATGCAAGGCAACAAGAGTCCTAATTAAACATACAGGCCTTGAGTCTGATCTGAAAATCTAGAGCCTTATAGTATTGAGCAACTATGAAAGATTAAGAATTTTCTGGGTAGATTTTTCATCAGAGGTTTCAGATTTGATTTTTTTAATCCTCACTTTTTTTATGCTGAGCGTAGGATACCCAGCCCAAGATGTTTTCTCCAGCAGATTTCATATATTACCCATAAATCCAAGTGAATTCTTCTCTTCTTGATGGCTTCCAAATTCTCTAAGGCCTCTGATGTGGTAAGAAATCATACCTTCTGTGAAGCTGACGCTCTGTAAGCCAAGTGCCAAGCACCACGCCAGGGTACTTGGGAGACGTTGCAGGCACTGAATCCATACAAAACCAGTCTTGAGAACAGGCTTCCAAGTAAGTACTTGCTCTTTAATAGTGGGCTTTTCACAGCTGATTAAATGAGAATCATTCTCAAATGTGATACTGCTTGCACAATTGATTTTTCCAATTATGCTCTGATAAAAAGAGAGCAAGATTCTTATTGAATCTTACCCAAATAACTATATTGCCAAGTAAAGTCACAAATCTTAGTAACATAGCTGTTTCTGAATTCTAAGGAATGAGTGAGAATGAGATACCACTAAAAATGTTTCACTGCAGTTTACCAAAGCACAGTCTATTAAACTGAGGCTTAGAGACAGCTTGGGAAAAAGGAGAAAGGGCTTCCTCATAAAACAATAAATAATAGAGCATTCAAACAACAGCAACATATCTAAACAAATAAGCACAATTAAATTAGTCTCATCAGTTCATTTAGTCCGTAGTAATTACGTTTCATTCCAATGGATACTGCTTTCATAAAGTATGTCTGCTGCTGGACTGAAAGAAGTCCTGGAAATCCTTAGTCCCTGATATAGTCTGCAAGTTGTCTAAGCAACACCTGTTTGGAAGGCTGTGCTTGACAATTCTCTGAAGGGGCAAAGGTTCATAATGCTGGTATAGACCTTCCCACAGGTTCTGAACTCCCCTTTGCTAAAGGTATGAACACTAGCCTGAAGCTTGTAGCAAAGTCACCAGGCAAACATTAGAAGGGAAAAGAGCTCTGCTTGATGGTAAGACTCATGGCTGAGGTTATATTCCAGGAACAATATTATCACAGCAGGCAAGAGTAAATTTCTTTTTTGGGATACAGGACATAACTATTTCATAAGGGTTTCCCCTGAGCAAGAAGACATATGATGGATAGCAGAGGCACTGACAATTTCCAGGGTCCTCTCAAAACGTGTACACTCTATAAAATATTTATAAAAATGAGTAACATTTTGCTTATACAAATTTAACCTAGTGAAGGTTAAGCATCCTTCCTGATTTGACAACTATCTTCATGTAGTTCTCAAAATAGTTTGAGATAATTAAGACGTATGGAACCCATGAAACGAACCCAATTATTTCCAGCATTATTTTACTTATAAAGTGAAAAAATAATCTTTATGAGGCCCCCTTGAAACTCAAAGATAGCATTAGATGGGCCAAGTGTGGTGGCTCACACCTGTAATCCCAGTACTTTGGGAGGCCGAAGCGGGTGGATCACAAGGTCAGGAGATCGAGACCATTCTGGCTAACACGGTGAAACCCCGTCTCTACTAAAAATACAAAAAATTAGTCTGGTGTGGTGGTGGGCGCCTGTAGTCCCAGCTACTCGGGAGGCTGAGGCAGGAGAATGGCGTGAACCTGGGAGGCGGAGCTTGCAGTGAGCCGAGATTGCGCCACTGCACTCCAGCCTGGGCAACAGAGCGAGACTCCATCTCAAAAAAAAAAAAAAAAAAAAGAGAGAGAGAAAAAAAAGATAGAATTAGATGTAAAAGGCATTTTACACTAAATTTTTTTTCGAAATTTGCAATCAAATTGCAGAAGGCAAAAATCAAAGTGTTGTCAGAGGAAGTTTGCTCACTTAATTAGGATGGAACCACGGGGGCATGAGAAACAGTATCTGATTACCTATTTAATCAACGTGGCAAACAGAAGAAGGCACACAAGTACCGGGAAACTTCAGTTCTTTACTAGTGAGGAAATTTGGCTCATTGAACTTCGTGTTTGTTTACATTTATTTATCTTGTTTTGTTTTTGTAAATAATCAAGGACATGATAAGGTCCACACAAAGTTGAGATGCAGGATCCTTGCTACTTAGGCAGATTACTCTGCAGGAAAAGAATGATCATCTGTTCATCCTCTGTTAACTCTAAGGCCAATTTATCATTTTAACAGAAAGAAGTCATTTTCTAGTTTTGTTTTAATGTGAAGTTTGGCAGTAAAGTTTTCATGAGCTCCTTTTATTTCTTTAAACTGTCTTGTGAATAATTCTATCAAAATGGAACAGAATTTACCAAAAAATTATAATGTTTCATTATTTCTTTACAGATTCTGATATTATAAAAACAAGGCAAATACAATTTGCTTCCTCAAACACTCTATAGCTAGCTCTCCACACTCATTATTCTCTTCATATACTGGAACACACTAATACTTTTCTTTGGGACTAGTCTTGTTTTGTATTTGTTTTTGTTTTCTTAGACAAATGCACTTATACTGTTGTGTTTCTTGTCATTATTGCTCCTTGTGATAACAGTAGTCCTAATTTTTAGCAGATATTACAACTCCAATTTCATAGACAAAGCTGGGTGGGAAATAACTGAGAACTGTCATAGACAGCATTTTATCAGACTAGCAAAGCTCAAAAATACACAACACACACCTTCCTAAAGCTACATTCGTCCTTTTTGCACATTCTTAAAGTGACAAAAAATGAACATGTTTAATGATATGATCCATAAAATAAGAACCAAAAATATTAAAAAATTAACATCTGCTTAATGTTAAGTTGTTGTAATATTCTATCTTAGAAATTATTGAGGGATCTAAAATAATATATATTAATTAGCTCAATTTAATTTTAACCCAAATTTTGAAGTTACTCTGGGCCTTGAAATTATGTTTAAGCTACCATTCTATAAAACATAATCACTGTTATAAAATCATTGGTCAAAACTCTAATTCAATATATTTGAAAACATTTCATAATCTCAAACATTATTTAGAAGTAATACTATCTTACTTGGTTAGCAAACCAATATAAATACAGTAGTGTCAAAAACTCAGACTAAGTTGCTTCACGAGAAAAATTTAAATCTTATAAAGAATATAATGTAGTATATTATAATTGAAGTATCACAGAAAAGTTATATAATGTTCTTCTTAAGAAAAATGATTAAACCAATCTAATAAAAAATTCATCTTATGTGAAGTCTTAAAATGTTTCTTTTTAAGTGATTTCTGCAGGAATATTTTAAGTCTAGTACAATATTAGGAGGTAATCTGAATTTTCTAAACTTCTTATATTGAACATAATTTAAATATGAATAGTTACTGAATTCATTGTAAGATATAGGATGATTGAGGAATATAGGATATGGTGGATTGTGACATTTTAAATTATGGGTTTAAAAGTTTTGTATATCCCAATCTATTTTATTTTCTAAGACCTAAATATTAATGCACTGGTTCAATAACTAATCAGAAATAAAAGCTGACACGGATATAAAGCTAAACGACACCATGGGTAATAAGAAAGAGGAACAAGTGGCCAGGCATGGTGGCTGGCACCTGTAATCTCAGCACTTTGGGAGGCCGAGGTGGGTGGATCACCTGAGGTCATGAGTTTGACACCAGCCTGGCCAACATGGTGAAACTCCGTCTCTACTAAAAATACAAAAATTAGCTAGGCATGGTGGCACGTGCCTGTAATCCCAGCTATTCAGGAGGCTGAGGCAGGAGAATTGTCTGAACCAAGGAGGTGGAGGTTGCAGTGAGCCAAAATCATGCCACTGCATTCCAGCCCAGGTGACACAGCGATACTCTGCCTCAAAAAAAAGAACAAACATATTTTTGACTATGTGTAATTATTTTAAATGAGCTGTCACATTTTAAATTTACCTAGAAATT